TTCTTGAACACTCTCTGATCGTCTCTCTCATAATAATTCCTGAAATACCGCAATTACTCATCATAAGAACATCGAGTTTAGGAGCAATAGCCAATAACAACGCGAATGAAGTTGCATCAATGTTGCTGAGATTATTACCACTGACATCAAGCAAATATAACTTCAACTTGAATCCTCTACTAAAGCTGTCTCTTATACACATCTAGATGTGTATAAGAGACAGGTATTAGGTTTTGCTATATACATAAAAATATGTAAATGATGAAACAACTTATATATACAGTATAAATATTATATATAATAATAATAATAATAATAATAATAATAATAATAATAATAATAATAATAATAATAATAATAAAACAAGGTATAAATTTGCCAGATTTTATTAATGAAGGTGGCACGATCTTTTTCGGCCATAAGCACTTAACCAGCGGTTGATGGAATGCAACAACCCATGTCTAAATATAATTAATATAATAATAATAGTATCTCCCTTGTTTGGTTTGAATCTCGGAGTGAAACAAAACTTACTTCCGCAGGAAATGTGAATTGGGCAGCAGACCGGGAAACGATCCCAACTCTTTCACAAAGATTGCACTGCATTCTTTTATATTATAAACATGTGTGATATTGTACACGGGACATCGGCTTAAACGCTTCATACTAAGGACGGTGCGTTATTTAAACTTGCATTTAAACGCCCCAGCTGAAACAACGGTTTAGCGCGCGCACTCTAGATTGATTAAATAAGCCTTTCAAGAGATTTTGAGCGATGTCCGACCACACCCCTAACACCTGATTTGTACTTATGTAGAAACTATTTAGTTCTGCAAATTAATCATTTAAACAAGCTAGTACAGAACAGTTTATTATTATTGTGAATAATTAGTACAGCTATGCTGCTTCACTGAAATTCGAACACTCTGGTAAATATATAGTACATAGGCCTAACATTCGATAGATGGCGATAATAATAATCTTTATTTGAATCTACACTTTTAATACAGTGACACACGAGAACGGTACGTTCACAAGGATTGAACATTAACAAATATATATATACACAATATGAAACTTAACAGAAAAGTAACCGACATAACAAAGGAAATGGTAATATTAAACCAAAACAGGTGTATAAAATACTAAAACATTGTGTAAAAAACGACTTAAAATTAAAATGTTTGGAATATTAAGAAGTAAAATTAATCATAGAGGATTTAAAACAAAAAAAAACATTCTAAAGTAGAGAAATGGGATCAGTTTCGGTGATCTACCGTTCACGCTTCTTAAAAACTACATCGGCTCCTCTATTAGAACACTCTCTGGTCACATCACTTATTGTGACATCTGTCAATCTGCAATTAGTCATGTCAATATAATTATAAGGAGTAATAAAAAAGGATGCAAATGTAGATACATCAATATTGCTGAGATCATTATCACTGATATCAAGATGAGTTAATTCCAACTTGACTCCTCTATTACAACCGTCTCTGATTATATCGTTCATAATTTCTCCTGAAAGATTGCAATTACTCATGTAAAGACAACCCAGTTTAGCGGTAATAAATAGAGATACAAATGAACATATATCGACATTACTGAGATCATTGCCACAGATATCAAACACATTTAATTCCAACTTGACTCCCCTTCTTGAACACTCTCTGATCGTCTCTCTCATAATAATTCCTGAAATACCGCAATTACTCATCATAAGAACATCGAGTTTAGGAGCAATAGCCAATAACAACGCGAATGAAGTTGCATCAATGTTGCTGAGATTATTACCACTGACATCAAGCAAATATAACTTCAACTTGAATCCTCTACTAAAGCACTCTTTGATCATATCCATAATATTTCCTGATAGACTGCATTTTTTCATGTCAAGGATATTCAGTTTAGGAGCAATAAACAATAACGATGCAAACGAATGTGCATCAATGTTGCTAAGATCATTACGACTAATATCAAGAACATCTAATTCCAACTTGAATCCTTGTCTACAACACTCTTTGATCACTTCATTCATAATAGACCCTGATAGACCACAATTACTCATTTTAAGATTACTGAGTCTAGGAGCAATAACCATTAGAGATACAAATGAAGGTACATCAATTTTGCTGAGATCATTATTACAAATATCAAGGTACTTTAATTCTAACTTGAATTTTCTACTACAGCACTCTCCGATCATTTCATTCATAAGAATTCCCGATAGACTGCAATTGTTCATTTTAAGAGTATTCAGTTTAGGAGCAATAGCTGTTAAAGTTGCAAAAGAAGATACATCGATGTTGCTGAGATTACTATTTCGAATAGAAAGGAAATACAATTCCAACTTAGCTCCTTTACTAGAACACTCGCTAATCGATTCATTCAAAATACAGCCTGTTATATAATTGCCATGGCAATTTAGGGTGCCAAGTTTTGGTGCATTACTCAATAGATGAACTAAGAATAAAGCACTAATTGAGCCAGACAATGTAAAGTTTGTTATATCATATCTGAAACTCAGTTTTTGACATACAGCTGTTAGACATTGTATATCATCATCAGAGCATATTTCACATATTTTATTCAGCAGTTTTCTTTGGTCTGGTACTGCAAACAAAATGTGGGCAAGGAATTCACCACGTGTTTCAGATGACATTTCTTTACAAAAATGTGCTAAGTGAGTTAGATCTATGTTGTGAAAAGTCTTTCTTCTCAAAAGTTGCAGGAAATGCTCGTTTTGATTAACCTCTGCAGTATTGTGATGGGCAAAACTTCTTAGTGACTTACAAATGTCATCAATATGTGGCTTTATTTCTAAACATGTCTTGGTCATGTGCTCTATGAGCGTCTCTTTTACAGTAACTACTTGTTCTTCTTTCATAACTCTTAAGTAAGTCATTAAAGATCGATATGTTGATAGACTATTTGTTATCCAATGCTTCAAAAGCTTTCCTGCATCAGGACCCAAGAATCCAACTGCAAATGATCTTGCCATGTTTAAATGTTCATTCTCTCTTATTATCGACCATTCACTATCATTCAATGGCTTAAGTAAGTTTTTCATGTCCTTTGAACACTCATTCTCTAACCCATCTATCTGACATAGTTTGTACAAGTAAAATCCTACCAATGACTCTACTATCAATTTGTGAGGAGCTGCAAACATCTCTTTAAAGTCAGATTTAAAAATTGGTGGTTCTTTGTATACAAATCCGAGATTTAAAGCCATGTTAACCAGTCTCCTTTTTCCTTCCAAGTCATTTTTGTTTATTGATAATTGGTTTGTCTTTAACCCTTCATACATACATTTGCCTAGCCGGACCATTGCATTGACCAACTTTACTGGTGCATCATCAAATATATTAATTTTTTGCACTTTAGATTCGTGTCTGTCAATAAACTGATTCAAGACGCATCTAAAAATCTCTTTAAAGAGCTCATTCTTATCAGCAGGCAGCTTTTGCGTTTCCTCCCACATCCTACAGACAGATAGAAGTAACATTGGATTCTTACAAATGGAAATTACATCCTGATGTCCATAGTTGAACTTTGAATTAAGCATTAACTCCTCAATAAGCGAGTTCCCTAATTCTGACTTTTTAAAGAACTCAAAATGTTTCGTAATGTACTTTTTTATATTTTCTCTACTGAATCCTTTAACTTTCACATGTATGTTGCTCTCTCTAATAAACTCATCTATTTTTTCTGATCGTGATGTAAGTAACACTTTGCATTCACTCATACTAATTGTTTCTTTTTTGAATATGTCCAGTGGACTCTCACTGCCCTCTTTCAATTCATCTAATCCATCCAGTAACAATACAATGTCATTATTGTGTTTCCCAATAAATTGTTCAATTAACCTAGGATCTTGAGGAAGACGTGTTACACACTGAAAATCTTGCAAATTTATATTATGTAACATAGCATCTAAAATACTTTCACCTTTGTGAATATCTCTGATATTGACAAGAAACACTATTTTACCTTTGAAAGTTTCATCCGATTCATTTGTGGCCCAGTTGTATGCTACATACCTGAGGAGGGTTGATTTACCAATACCACCTTCCCCTTCTATTAGAACTTTACATGCATGTGTGGATTTTATAATAGATAGCACCTCTTTCAAACATGTTGGCTTGGGATTTGGCATCATTTCATCTTCTTTAAGTAGATCCAAATCAGTGAACATGTGAGCGATGTCCACATGGAACCGTGTATTCCATGTTGCTGGTGTAAACTTGATGGCATTGCAACATACACTCTTCTGTTTTTTTAGTAGATATTTTCTAATTTCCTCGTCTAAAAAAAGACAAACAAACACTTATGTATGATCTGCCTTTAAATGTATAATGAATAGATGATTGTACATGTGTACATCAGATAATACAAGGCCAATCTTTACTGCTTGAGCGTGAAAAATACTAAAACCATAAGCGGATTATATATATATATATATATATATAAAAACATATATTGCCTTGGTTTGGCTCTGTAATCATTAGTGGTAGTGGGACTGGTTTGGGCCCTTCCTAAGCTGGTCAAACGTTTCTTTTGGGTCTACAAATTTCTACTCAAGAATTAGCATATACACCTGCTGAACCTCATATATACCTCCATTATCTTCCTATCCACTCACTCCTGAAGATTGCTATTGCATGAAACAGCTGTAGAGTAAATTCACGCTTGACATAACCTTTCTATTATTATTATTACTGTATTATTAATGTATATATGTATATGTATATATATACATATATATATATATATAATGTATATATATAAACATATATATATATATGTGTATATATATACATACATATACATACATATATATAGGTCAACCACGCTGTATTACAAAATTTGCTTTCTGGGGTTTACGGGAATTGTATCACAACTTAAATCTGCATTTATGTAACTTGAAATGAAAAATTTACCGTCTGCCAGATATTCCACAGCTTTTGACTGTTTACATTCTTTTAACTTTTTAATGAATGCTTCCATCTTATCTTCACAAATTATCATTCTGTGCTCCAGATCCTTAATCAAAAGCCATTTATCTCCATATTTCTTTAGTGGCATGTTGAAAACATTATCAAGATTGTCTACTTCAACTTGAGACAACGCCATTCCCAGCTTTACGAGCTTTTGTCGGTGCTGCGTGAATTTTAAAATTATAATTTGTCTGATCTGATTGAATAATGGATGCAGATTTTTATTCTTCGGTTTGAAATCAAATTGTTCAGTTAAATTTATGGTTTCGTACAGGATCCTAAGATCTGATGAACTTAGATTTCCAAAAGCATTTAAGTTGTCCAACAAGTCACGCATTCTGTTAGCATTTTCCAGTATAATATCCGTCAAATGGTCATTGTACAAGACTTTCAACATACTGAGGAAACCAAGTCGATCATACCAGTCTGATATGTCTTGCAAAAGCTGAAGAAATATTTTTTTAGGGATTCCTGGAAATAATGTAATAAAAATACTAAAATATTACATATCGTCTTAACCATGAAATACTATTTAATTACCATCTAATAAAATAATAGTGAAGATAATCAAATACATTAAATGAATCTGCCTGTATAGATAATGTTTTTGTTACATTTTTTAATAACCTATGCCCTGTCAAATTTTATTATATTAAAGGCACATCAAGACTATATGGGCAATACAATCAGTTTTTTGTCAAAGAAAATGTTAGTATCTGAACCAGAATCATGTTTTCCTTTGAAGCTTTACATAATATTCAAAACCCAATCAATACGATATTGATTATTATAAAATTAACTACTGGGTTGAATAAATTATATCCAAATCATCTTAAACCTGAGGAATTTAAAATTAGTTTAGGAGACATTGTCTGTACTTTTTGGTAATATTTTTTTCGAGATGATTGTCATATACACCAAACTGAATATGGATGCTGTAAGGATACCGTAGGCCTATATTTTAAAACCATAAATAGTTTCAAATTGAATATTTAAATAAAATCTAAGTGAAAAAACATATAATGACTGATTAATGCTTGTTTTGAATTAAATCTCAATAGACAATCGTTTGGAGGTTTATATCAAATGTTTCTATTATAGCTTTTCAAAAACAAAAATTTGTCATCTATAAAATTTTGAAGCTAAATGAAATTCTTTCAAGATTCATTATCCAATCTTATTATCTCTTTTATCAACCATTTTAGGTAAAGAATATTATATGATTTGCTATTAAATTTACCTTCAGCGAGAGCTTCAACGAGTGGATACAGTTCACGTTGATTTAACGTTTCAATGAATGATTCCATCTTCCCTTCCAATAGTGTCATTCTGTGCTCCAGATCTTTAATCAAATGCCAACTGTCTACATACCTCTCTAGTGGTATGTTATACTCACTATCAAGAGTTTCTACATCGACTTCAGTCAATGTCATTCCTAGCTTTACAAGCTTTTGTCTGTGCTGTGTGAAATTTGATATTTCAATTTCTCTGACGTTTCTGAATAATGGAAGCAGATTTGTGTTCTTCGGTTCGAAGTCAAACTGTCCAGTTAAATTAATGGTTTCATAGAGGATGCTAAGATTTGTTCGACTCAGCCTCCCAGAAGCAATTAAGTTTTCCAACAAGTCACGCATCCTGAAAGCATTATGTAGTGTGGTATCGTTAGTCACATGGTCTCTGTACAATACTTTAAGCATAGTGATGGATCCAAGTCGATCATACCATTCGGATATATCTTGCAAAAGCTGAAGAAACATTTCATCAGAGATTCCTGGAAGCAGTTTAATAAACATACTAAAATATTACACCAAGTCTCAACCATGGTTATACTATTAAACAAATTCATACTGATGAAACAAATGATAATATTATGATAATGCAATATGTAACTGTTTTAAACCTATAGATTGGCCTAACTAAATGACTGAAGACCATAATTTACAAATGGATTTTTGTTGCTACTCACCCCAGTATATAAAATATAGCGTGTTTATTTATTGTTTATTATGGGAATTTCTTAAATTATAAACTAATGGGCCATGTTTTACTGTAATGGTCAAATACAAATCGGTCATATTTACGGTATTACTATATATCGCCATCATCTTCACCATCATAATAAATCTCCTTAAAGGTAAATTTTGTGCACCAAATTAGGATTTTGAAGCCGAAGGGTGGATTAAAACTTTCCCACCCATATACACAGAGTAGAGTTTACGGTATTTTTTTGATTTTCATTCATAAGCCAAAAGGTTTACAAAAAAGCACTTTAGGCCCGCGACTCCACTTATGCTTAAAGCTCCATTCCTGGCAAGATTTCAGTTCCTAAGAAAAATCTAATTTTTATAATTTATAATCATAAATGTTATAAAGATTTATAAATGTAATACGAAATTGCTAATTTAACTGAATTTAGACATTCCTAAACATGAAAAAAATGTAAAATAAGACTGAAATTTGATTTTTTGTGTGTTCTACACAAAAAATAAATACGGATTAGATTTTTCGGTGATTTGCGATAGGTCTACGAAGAAACATAGGATTAGTAGCAAAGATACTAGAAACACAAATAGAGCACTTGGTAAAAATGAGGCGGAAATCGTGCCCGACGTAGGCGGCGCCCTTCTTTTTAACCCTGCAAGTTTTCTATCCTTCATGCCTGACGTACATGGCGCCCTTCCATTGCTAAGTATATCCAGACGCACACGGCGCCCTTCTTTTTCCACTAATGGAATAAAACTTTATCACTAGAGTGCGTCCGGCCATACGATTTTGCGCTATATTGTTGTTTTCTATACGGTACTGATCCATAGGCTTAATTGTGTGTTTTATTTGGATAATAGCAACGATTTCCACCTCCGCCAAGGAATTGTGTACAATTTGTTAATTGAGAATTGACAATAAAATACGCGACGACTTGGTAACGAAAGTTTGGTTGAAGTTTTTTTAGATCCAGCCGTAAGGGGCGTCCCATTGTTTGTATTCCCACCATGCATTTCGGTGGAACACTTTTTTTGTGTGGAGAACTCTATCTTGTGTTTCTAGTATCTTTGGTAGTAGTTAGTAGGCGCCGAAAACATAGCCTATCCAACACTGCTGCTAGGCTAGGCCTGCCTTACCCCAATTTAGGTTCTCTCTTCTTTTATCACACATAAAAACGGCCGACATGGTATTGACACTTGTGAAATATAATATTCCCATAGGAATTATTTTAAATCTGTTAGAAAATTATTCTGACCGAAATTTTGACAATTAAAAAAACATATCTCAGGCCTAGCCCTACTCGATTGATCGCAGTGTGCTAGATGCGAAGTACAAAAACCAATTTCTTCAGGGAGGGCGCACTTTATTGACTGTATAAAGTATACGTAAAAGCGAGAGCATTCCAACGGATGCGATATACAACCTCTGAATTGCCTAACGAATAATTTGTCGAGAAATGGTAATAGAAATAGTCTCGTATTTCACAATTTGTTTATTCTTTTGTGTAAAACTAAAATGTATGCCAATATTTTTCCATTGTTTACAATAAATAGAGTAATGCATATGCATTTTTTCTATAAAAAAAAATCTTTTTTAGTGAAATTTTGCCGGAATGGGGCTTTAAGCGAACTGTTCTTGACACATTTCAAAGACACAATATCTGGCACCAAGCGTCTATTTAAATGACAATGGTTTTGAATTACATTTTTAAAAACATTTAAACAAAATCTGATAAATTATGTACAGGTTAAGGTTTCATGCCTTAGTAAAATCATTAGTTTGCGGGGGTTTACGTCCGATTGTATCACAACCTCAATCTGTATTAGACGTAAAAGATTAATTTAAAATGGAAAATTGGAAGAAAAAACAATTATAATGGCTGATATACAATTTAATGTTTAAAATATTCAGTATCACGACTTTCATAATTAAGTTGAGTAGTATATCCGTCATTAAGTTACCTTCAGCGAGAGCATCAACAGCCGAATACAGTTCACATTCATTTAACGTTTTAATGAATGCGTTCATGTTTCCTTCACGAATTATCATTCTGTACTCCAGATCCTTAATCAAATGCCAGCTGTCTACATATTTCTTTAGTGGCATGTTAAACACATTATCAAGATTTTCTACATCGCTTGGAGTCAGTACCATTCCCAGCTTCACAAGACTTTGTCTGTACTGCGTGAATTTTGATATCACAATTTTTCTGACATTTTTAAATAATGGCTGCATATTTTTATTCTTCGGTTTGAAATCAAATTGTTCAGTTACATTTATGGTTTCATACAGGATGCTAAGATCGGTTGAACTCAGATTCCCAGAAGCAATTAAGTTGTCCAACAAGTCACGCATCTTGGAAGCATTATATAGTATGACATCAGTCAAATAGCCACTGTACAAGACTTTCAGCATTCTGATGGATCCCAGTCGATCATACCATTCTGATATATCTTCCAACAGCTGAAGAAATATTCTGTCAGATATTCCTGGCAATAATGTAAACATCTATATTATTACACAAAGGGACATACATGATGATACTATAACCACACTTATGGAAAATAATATAAGTAATAATGCTGTTGTTGCTATTGTTAATTGACTGTTAGGGAGTAGGTGTTGTAAATTTAGTTTAATATCTATAGTGTAGGCCTATGTATGTTGTGAAAAAGATCAGTCAAAAGCTTTGTATGAATTAATCTGTATTAAATGTAAACAATTAGCTTTAAATGAACAATTTAAAGAAAAAATAATTGCTGATTTTAACTTGTCTTCAAAAGACAATCTTTTATAAACTTCATATTCATTACATTAAAATTCCATCTTTGTTTTGTTAACCATTAAATAATAATAGATATCATCCGTCATTAACATTACCTTCGGCGAGAGCTTCAACAGCAAGATAGAGTTCACGTTCATTTAACGTTTTAATGAATGCGTTCATGTTTCCTTCACGAATTATCATTCTGTACTCCAGATCCTGAATTAAATGCCAGCTGCTTTGATATCTCTTTTGTGGTATGTTATACGCACCATCAATAATCACTACATCAGTTTGAGTCAGTATCATTCCTAGCCTTACAAGGTTTTGTCTATGCTGCGCAAATTTTGATATTTCAATATCGCTGACGTTTTTGAATAATGGACGCAGATTTACATTCTTCGGTATGAACCCAAATTGTTGAGTTAAATTTATGGTTTCGTACAGAATGTTAAGATTTGTTCGACTCAGATTTCCAGAAACAGTTAAGTCGTCCAACAATTCACGCGTCGTAGAAGCATTAGATAGTGTTTTAGCGGTAGTCACATGATCTCTGTACAACACTTTAAGCATACTGATGGATCCAAGTCGATCATACCACTCTGATATATCTCCCAACAACTGACGAAATATGATGTCAGTTATTCCTGTAAGTAATGTAATGAATATACCGCACTATAATATGATACTGATAAAAGGTACTGATAAAAATGAAAATAATGATGGAAAAAATAAAATGAGGATAACGACGATTATATATCTGAAATAATGAAGGAATGAATAAATAAATAAATGGAGAGGTAAAACAAGTATGAGTTATACAGATATTAAAGTATACTGATATATTAGGCCTACTTATTGATGGAAATAAATGTACTGAAGCTATATTTTACCTGTAGTTCCTGGAGAAATTTGCATCTCTGTCTGAATAGGACTATCAGACTGATCTGGAAAATTAAGCAATTAATAATTCAGTTGAGGCAATTACAGTAAATCCATATCTACAGTAGCATAACAGTCCATGTGAATGGATTGTATACCGTACTAATCCAAATATTGTTAGTATATTCCGTTGTATTATTGGGAAGAGCTTTTTTTCTTAGTGTCATAGGCGGTTAGGGCTGGAGACTTTGTAGGGATGCATTATCTGCTGAATTTGCATTAAAAAAGCTTTTAACTCTATCAGGTTCATGTAATAATTCAATGATAATTAAACAAAAAACTATAGTTACACGAAATACTCACAAAATTTGTACGTACTGCCATGCAAACTGCCATATGCACGGACATTAATGCTTACCTGCAGACGTTCTTAGACTTGCTTTACTTGTAGTAGCATGCTTGTCACCATTACTTGCCATCCTCAGCCCAATAGGATCCTTTTTTGAATCAATGATGAGATGTGTTGTTATCGTTCTCAGAACCTCATCCATGTTTTCTTTACAAATCTTATTTCTATGCTCCAAATCAACGAATAATCCCCATCTGTCAGTCTTTTGTTTAGAACTGAAAAGTTCTGTGATCTTCTTGACATCATTATCAGTAAGACTTTCTACAAACTTGATCAGACTTTGTCTGTTAGTTGTAAACTTTGATACGATGACTTTCCTGATATCCTCAATTGTCATCGACAACCTTTTTATTTCCGGTTCCAAGCCAAATGGTTTAGTTATATTGATAGTATCGTATAGTACTTTTAGATCTGCGGGACTCAGATGTCCAGAGGTACGTAATAAGTCGAACAAGTCAATCACCTTGGTGGCAGCATATAACTTATCAGGTTCAGTTACAAGATCTCTGTACAAAACCTTCAGCTTATTGATGTATCCATGACGATCATACCACACTGACATGGACTTTAATATCACTCTGAAATCAGCATCAGAGATTCCTAAAAAATTAAATAATATTTTTTTTTTTATAAAACGGCCAGATCTCTAGAACTCATCGTCATTTGTAGTCCTTGAACAATTAGGCCTAGTAAGCCAAAAATATAGATTTGTATGCAAGCCAGCTCTGTGTATGCTCACTTTTAACTGAAAATCTTTAGTTGGTGTATTGACCTGCCAAAAATTATGTTCCAGTGGCTTTCGTTTAAAAATTAGATTTTTTAGATATACAGTATTGTGCAAAAAGTGCTGTCGCTCCATGAATAATTGACGGTCATCTTTTATGGGTATTCGCCTGTCAAGACTTACAGCCCAATATTTGGTTGAGAAGTACAAGTTAAGCAACAAGTAAGTCAACCAATCAATCAATCAATCAATCAATCAGTCAATCAATCGATCAATCGATATTCGCTTTTATTATATTTCAAAGGCCAAATATGGAGCAGGGATACAACAGGTTATAAATTATATAATATGCTAAAAATCCCTAAATACAAATCTATGTATTTCTAATTTTATTTGAATCTTTTCATTTTTTTTTTTTTATAATCGACTAGGTTCATCTGGTTTGCTTATATTATGACCGTAGAGCTGATTCATCAATAATAAACCAAGCACAATTGAAAGCTCGCAGTAAGTTTACTTTAATTGTGCTTGGTTTATTATAGATGAAACAGTAACTTTGTAGGCCTACTTCCTATTTTAGTCATTTTTATTTCCTGGTCAAACAAAAGCTTGTTCGTGTTAGATGTACAGTGTACTATACGTTAACTCACCTTTCGACATGTCTGCTTCCATACTGTTTTACTAATATCTACTAAAAATCAAATAAGAATTAAAGAAATGTAAAATAGAATTACTGACTGACGTGTTACAATTTATATTAGTCGACTGGTGTCTTCTTTTTTTCTTCTCTAAAATAAAATAATAATAAAAGCAATGTACTTTGGCAGAGGTCTTTTAGAAACAGCTCAAAGCAGTAAGTATTGGCTTTGGGCCTATATCTTTTATTGCTTGCAAGCTAATCTCCATCCGCCTTTAACACATACCGTACCAGATTGGGCCTACAAATATTAATCCTTTTGTTCATATTTAACATCGGTATAGCATTGTTGTACATTCCTTTCATGAGTTTATAATTACTGTTTTAACAGCATTGAAGTATTACCTCCAATATTTGTTTTCCTATTTAGTGGGCCTACTTTTTTACAGATCCATGACGACATTAACAGGCCTTCTACATTATAAAAAATCCTTTCATTTCAGCGGGACTCTCGGTTTGACATTGTATTGCATGCATTTAGAATTAGCCTACGGCTTAGTAGCATTGTTGAAGTATTAAAAATAACCCTTTTTTTGCAAGTCCATTAAATATTGTCAACAAAGATGTTAATACATATGAAAAGGAAATAACTCCAGGACCTATATTATAATATTGTTAACGCTTACAAGCTCATTTGGCATTAACAACGAACAAGCGAAAGCTGACATTCACGAGGCTCTCAGCGCTTAAGAATCAGTACGGTACGTAAACGGCAACCACAATATCATTTATATACGCCCTAGAACATAAAATACTATACTATACTAAATGTTATGACATTGCTCTTTTTACTGGGTCTCACAAACATTTCATGATTATTTCAAATATGAGAATACTAACAGCCGGGCCGGAAGTGAACATATGAGTAAGCCTATTAAGCAGTTAGGCAACATTATTTTATTATCACGGGAACAAGAGAACAAGAATTTCCATATTTGTGGCACATGCTTAAAGAACAGACTCTACGCCGGTTAATATAAACAAGAAGCAGCAGTACTTGGTAAAGACGCGACAACTTGATTTCTAGCTTCGAACAAGGTATCCGTTAGTAGAAGACAGCCTATCAATAGTGACATTCTGAGAATGTTCGAAATCAGGAAATATTTCCAACTTTATGTTAAAAAAGATTAAAACATGTTAAATATAGACACAATATATATACATAGACGATCATAGAAAATGTATAAATAGGCCTAGTTATAATAATCAGCTTAGTGTAAAAATAATAAAATTAATACAAAATGTGAATGAATAAAGGAAGAAGGCAAAATAGGAAGGAAATTCGGAGCAGCTTATAAGTATTGTATATCGAAAGTTATATAATAATGATAATAACTCATTATATTTTACGTTTTTGTAATAAATTTTACAAATGTCTTTATAAAAATATGTTATTAGTAAGGAAGAAGTAATGAACAAAATAAAATAATGTTGGATACTGGCTATAACTTCTCGTTGATGATTTTTTCTTAAATAATTTTCTAAAGCAATGGCGGATCCAGAAATCGAAATGTGGGGTGGGGGCATCCACCTCACCCACCCCCCCCCCCCACGATGGTTCGGGCTGTGGTAAAGAAATTTATGATTATGCCGCACCCATTGAATCCGCCATTGAATCTGAGGTCCCCAATATATTCGTGTGGAACTTAGGCGACATTGTAGACTTATCTTGTTTGCACTTCAGCCAAATCAGTACCAGTCGCTGTGGTAATACTAAATGAAGTAAAGTGAAGTAATTAATACTCACCCTCTGCGTTTTCTATAATATTTCAATTTTATTCACCCGAATCCTGATCACATTTCTCTTCCTTAGAGTAGAGTAAAGCCCCTTGTTCATCATAACTCAAGCTCATGAACGCTCTGGCTGGCCGGGTTCTATGGATGATTGGTTTCTAACGGTAGAACTGTTTTTGCATAATCAATACATTGTGCACAGTGAATAATATTAACATAAACACTGTTTCCCCCATTCATATTGCTGATTTTTTCCGGCTATGGTTCATGGGGAGAATTCTTATGGCTTAGTACTGTACGGCCCAAAATTGTGCTTTTCGATCACAAGAGATTGGAAATCCAAATAACATTATTTAGATAAGCAATTTAATATTTTTGGTACGACGACCTCGTCGTGGTTCCATGTCCGATGGGAGTGGGGGATTTCTAGTCGTGGGTCCAGGCCTGTCCGACGGGTGGGAATTTCCTCTCTTACCCTCGCTCTACCGCCACTGCATGACATAGTACAACCACTGGCGGATTTATGCGGCGTAAGGGGCGTACCCATCTATTTTGTGTAAACAATGCTTTTTGTAAAGCTTTCAGAAAATTACTATCAGTGGCGTAACGCCTACGTGCTCTCGTGCGGTTGTCCACAGGGCCTTCGACCCCTGCGGGCCCCGAAGCCCTAACCACATGGCCTTCGATGTAGCACCCTGACCCAAAATGGCTTTGTTGATATATAACAGCATAATGCGTCTCTTCTCTGGCACCGACTGTATGTCATATTATGTCCAGTGGTAAGTTAAAGGGAGCCCATAAATGTTTAGATTTTAAGTATGTGAGTGCTATTTCCGGCCATCTAGACCTGCATCTAGAGGTACCGTAATCCTAAATTATCTTTTCTTTGTTGGTATTGACCCTCCATCAGTGAATGCCCCTCCCTGGTTTCCCTCTATTTCAAATTTTGTTTGAAAATAAACAGACGCCACGTACACCATCCAACTTCATACCATATTTACATTCTGTACTTAAAATTTATGTAATCGTGATGTTGTTACTGCAGGCCTGCTTTTCTATTGTTGTTAGTATTATAAAAGGATAATTTAAGCGTGTTTAACAAAAAGTTAAATCCATCCATACTCATGACAATAAGGTGTGGTTAGAACCTGTCACTTTTAATCTGCACAGATCGATAATGGTCATATGCTTTCCTATTTGAAATTCGGAAATATTAGATCTTGGTCTTGACGACACAATTTGTCGTAACATTGATGCATACCCTACCTATATGCAGTGGCGTAAAGGTGGGGCCGGAGGTCCTGTGGCTTGCCGAGACTGGGGGAAATATTTGGGTCCTGGTCACCAATCCATTGTTGGATTTTAGATGTGCTCGTTTTTTAATCATGCTTGTCATTACATTCTAATGTTTTCAACGACGAAATAAATGATATGACATCAGTGGTGGATCCATGAATTTGAAATGGTAAGGGTTGAGGTAAGGAAATTTATGATTAAGTAACCTTTAGATGACGAGAAATGGCACTCGGAGAACAAAAATGTGAATAAAATATTCTTTTTGAAAAAAAAAATAAGGGGGGAGGGGCAGCTTTTCCCTTAATATCCGCCAATGATTATACAAAAGAGGGAATATATTATATGACCACCTAGCCTGTCTCTTATACACATCTAGATGTGTATAAGAGACAGTATATATATAACATGAAGAGGGGTCCACGTGTGTTCATATATGAATAATAATAAACAATAATAATAAAACAGGAAACTGAGTAAAATAGGAGACTTCAGAAATGACCTCAAAGAAGTTATATTTTACCATTTTTTGCGATGCTACTGGTGTTTGTGTTAATTCCCTAAAATTCAAACACGAGTTCTTTTCCAGTTGATGCAGTGCAGCCAGCAAGTTTATGAGAAAGATACTCAAATGAGAGTACAGGTATTAGTAATTCTTTAAAAAAAATGCCATAAATTAATTTTTTTTTATTACTAATTGTTATTGATGTTTATTCCATACATATACTTATCACATAAAGCTAAACACACGTTGACAGCGTAACAACAAAACTGTATAAACGAGCAACTGCGTCTATTTCCAAAAAGATTTTATAACAGCAGAAGATAATTACTGTATTTATTAAGATACAAGTCTATATTTCTGTTTTCAGAAGTTTAATCAGTTTAATGTTTTTCTTTATTCAACTTCTATCAGACATTTTTTGAAAGCAAATAGGCTACAGGCATTACCTTTAAAATGATCTACAACAGAATATGACAAATGTTCGGAAGTAAACATTTCCAAAAACGTACCCAAAATCAAGTAGGCCGATGTACATATTTTGGCCCAAACGGCCGCCCATATTAACAGTAGCTACTGTCACATTTTGTATCTACTACAGTTTCTTAAGTCAAGTTGCTGAACAATAGTCAAAAGTAGTCTAATGATTTAATTTACACAAAATTGGGAATTATTTCAGCAGTAGGCCTACAATCAGTGGCTTAATGCTGAGGCGGGGGCCCTGTGGCTATCTCAGACTGGGGGGTACTTGTCGCGGGTCAGTTGCGTATCCAGGAATTTGAAATAGAGAGGGGCAAAAGGAGGGACTTTCACAAATGGAGGGTATATACGGCCTCACAGTCCCTGGTAGGGGCTGTGATAAGAACATTTATCATATCATAATTATGATATTGGCACCTATAGATGGCCGGAAATGCCAGTGGCACTCACAACTGGGCCCTCAATATCTGTTGGCACCGAATGTATACAGTCGATGTAAGACACATTATGCTGTTATGTATCAACAAAGCTACTTGGGACAGGGTGCTGGATCAAGAATCTTATGGGTAGGGACCTGCGGACCGCCGCACCAGAGTGTCCAGCCGGCCCCTCCCACCCCCTCCCCACTTTCCTAAATTTTTCAAAAAAAAAAAAAAAATGGGATAAAATGAAAATTCTCTCAAATTTTTAGTCTAGGAGTGTCATTTCCGGCCATCTAGAGGTGCGATAGTAATAAGTTTTCTTACCTCAGCCCCAACCATTGTGGAGCTGAGGTAGTATACCCTCCATCTGTGAACGGGCCTCTCTAAGCCCCCTCTATTTCAAATTTCTGGAACCGCCACTGGCCACTGCGCATAAGTAACAATCTCAAGTTTTGAAGTTACACACGAGGATTCGAACCTGACCTCAAGTTGAAAATCGATGTCGCAATGATTGCCGTGTTACAAAGCTTACCGTTACTTATTCATTTTAACAATGTATACATTGTATTTAAAACCCTGTTTCTCAGTCTTCCATTGCACACATACGTTTGATGGTGCGTCGCGTATTTGAGAGCGACGCTTATTAGAGAATTTACGGTACACATTCAGCAGTGGCGTAACGCTGGGCCTGGGGGCATGTGGATTGAGACTGGGGCCTTTTTTTTGCATCCCATTCTCCAATTCAATTGTGGGATTTTTTAGGTATACTCGTTTTTTGTTCATATTTGTCACTGGGGCCCTACTTGTCGGGGCCCTGCGGACCGCCGCACAAAAGGCACTATAGGCGTTACGCCACTGCCTACAATATGTACGAATTTTTACTCCTTACTAACATTTTGTTTTAGTGCCAAAGGCCTATTTTACTAGAATAAAGTTAATCATTTGACCAGATGCATTTACTGTATGATGCCTGGGAGTGCAGTATTGTTGGTTGTTCGATTTCTGGCGTCTTAACTACAAAGTTACAACAACTTCACCTTAAAATGTTATTAGTACTGGAGATCAAAATTAGAACAAGCGTTAGTAATTATTTTTCTAAATAGTAAGTAATGCTATAAAAATTAAACAGGTAAAATATAATTAATCAATCTGCCCGAAGGCTTCAACGATGGTCGTTGTGCTTATCTTCCTCGGAAATACAAATCGTATTTAAACGTTTGCGAAAGTTGCGGCGGTGGTTATGCATATCACAAAATGGTTAAATGACGTTCACACAATGTTGTGGAAGTTATGTGTGAAATTACGCTGTAAGTAATGTTTACATGGTTCTACAAAATGACGTTTACAACACCAAATTATAAACGTACTTATAATGTAATATTGTTACTGGGTTCTTAAAGAAATGAATCACACCATTCTTGCAGACACCTGTAACAATCGGTAGCTTGTTTGCTGTTTGCATTTATTGTTTCCTTCAACCATTGAGTAAACAAGTGTCCGTTCATATGTACCATTAAGAACTTCCCAAGTAAAACGTAAGCCTGAAATGAACAAAAAAGAGGGAATATAAAACCTAAAATAGCTATCGTAAAACCTCGAACCTTCTGTTAGCAAGCTCGGGCCATGTAGTACTATTTAAAGTAGGCCTACTTGAAATTTATGTTCATATGATTATATTACTTCCGTCGGCTGAAAAATGAATTTATTTAAATATGTCCTTTGTTCTTGGGACGTAAACAAAATTGGTCCGCAAAGTATTGTAACTGTAAACGGTTTGGTTTTTCAACCTTCTACCTTCGCCTATATCTACGCAAAATTAACACAAGTGATCACTAAAAAATTCTGACAACTTTTTACTGTGGAGAGTAAACTTGGATCAATGTAGTGATCACCTTGAGGTCAGAGTTCAATCAAATCATTTTCTTGGTACCTTATCACAACCAGCTTCACATAACCTTAGACCTAAAACAGGTCCTATTCCAGCTACATCAGTTACAGGTTTATCACCCATAGGTTCACCAGTAAACTCTCTGTGTTTCTTTGATGTGCTTGCCATTTTGATGATTCACAACCTCGACACAAGAAAAAATCGTTAAAATAGAATACTTATTCAAAACAGACTAAAATCCAATTTATAAAATAATGCGGGTGTATATATGTATGTATATATATTAGTCCTATTAATTTGGGCGGCTACAGGGCCAATATATATAAAATAGATTTATATATATATATATATATATATATATATATATATATATATAATCAAAATAGATTTGTAACACGAATAAATCGATGTTAGTATAAATATATCATCATATATATTATCATCATAAATCATCAAAAAGAGGTAAATACAGTGTTCGAATAAAGAACATAATAATATATCGTGAAACATAGCTCTCAACGAATGTAGTCCTGTAAATAAATGAACAAAGAAATTGTGTAATAAAATGCCTCTGGCGGAACTCGAACCTGCGACCTCTCGCTGTCAAGGCGAGCGTCATAACCATTAGACCACAGAGGTTTCACGGTTGAACAGATTCAAATACCACCAGATGCACTCCATTACACAATAGGTAAGCTAGAAACACATAGTTGCAATTAATATAAATCAAGATAGCCGTTAACACTGTTAAATATAATACATCATCAAAGAAAGATACAGTGTTAACGGCTATCTCGATTTGTATATAATTATATATTAAATATATATATATATATATATATATATATAGTCTTATTATTTGTAAATAGGCCTAGTCCTATAGTCCTATTAATTTGGGCAACTTTAGGGGCCAAAATAGACAAACATAAGAACAAAATATTCTCGTTAGAATAATCTAATATATATGCTATAAATTTGTTAGGTTGTGTGTTGGAGTTAATCTTTACGTGAATACTCAATTGCGTACACGAATTTGTCTTTACAGGGGGGATTTCTGTTTTAAAAATGATGAATTTAAACGTAACATGCATGAAGTTGTCTTATGTTCTTTCGGCGACTGTTTGTCTATTTGTTCCCTAACGGCCGCCCATATTAAGATACGATGCTCTATTCTGGAATTTCCCACAGGCGCGGATTACAGTATGGATAGCTAGAGCAGGTCTAATATTGGAAAAGGAATGGAATTAATACCCCGATGCGAGAATATCTCTTTATATTTTAGCCCTAAAATGGTAAATTTACATATGAATAACTATAATAATAATTACAGAGTTGAAAGATATTCATAACAGTTAGGGGCCTACAGGCCTATTTTGTAACAATAATGAGTAAGTTGATATAATAAACGAATATAAATATATTAATAGATTGATATTGGATGATAGATTTTTTTAAATAGTTTTTAAAAAATTTAAATATTATTATTAACACCGTGAAGAATATATATGACTTACGGATCAATGGCCTTCAAGGAAACATTGCACATCAGGAAACTTAGCTTAGGCCTACAGCAATAATACTCTATCAGAGTCACGGTAAAGGAAAGGTCTATTCAACCTAATAGGCTAATGCTATAATTAATCAAGACTATACGGCTATAGTATTATTTATATTTTTATAAATATATATATATTATATTTGATATAAAATTAAGATTATGTTCAATAAGATAGCTTACGGTACTTGATATGTTCTCGGATGCTTCTTCGGCGATCCTCTATCACTCAGTGATATGATGACGTAGTTGCACAACAGCGTATTGCGATGGTTTTTGTTTTGTTTTGTTTTTTTAATCGTTATACCAGCCAGCACTATTGAGTACTCTAGAATCAGCCTGAAGAAAATGGTAATTAATCCCGACGGCGATTAGAGCTGGCAAAATACATTGCAAAAACAATCTTATTGGATTAGGCCTAGACCTGACCTATGTAACGGAGTGTTTTATTTCAACATTTGGTTTTTGATAAATTTGGACTTTTCTTTGATTAAATTTATGATTATTGTATAAAACATTTATAGTTAAAAAAAATGAAAGAAATCGTCATTGTCATTAGGCCTATCATTAGGCCTAATGACCAAAATTAGACTTGGACTTTTATTTTTAAAAATTGAGAAATGAAAAAAATATACTTAATTAGCGGCTTGAGGTGGGGGGAGGGGCAAGGGCACATTACTTACAGGGGTATAATTGTCTCCCACCGTCAAACTACTTTGAGTAAGTTAGTTCCCTATCGATGGCTAGGCCTAGATTACCAGGCCTGTCGCTAGGGGCCCTGTTTGGGCCGAAAAGTTTACTCATTCACGACGTACAACGACAATGATGCCACGCTTGGTCCCACTAATTTTGTGTTCACCTTGGGAACGTTCACGTTCGTATCATTTAAAATAATTATTTTGTTACTAAATACTCGTTTGTATTTGAACTTTATACTGATGATAGGAGGCCCTATCTGCATTGTAAAATTTAGAGAAAATTCATCGTCGCCATTATTTATTATCAATACGGTCCCGGCGTCATTCCTTGAATCGGGAGTACTACCTTACCGCTTGAGTTCATGATGTACACATGACATGGGTCATATCATGTAAAGATATTTATTTGTCCCGAATTATAATTTGTATTTTTAATGTATTACTAGAGATAGGTCCCTGCATTCAACAATTATGTGGATATTCATTGTACAGTATTGTTATTTACTATCAACTATTGCCCCGGCGTCACTAATTTGGATATGACGGCTCCTTCCATTAATACTGCAAGCAAAGTAATAGGAGTAGATGACATAATATAGGCATGTGAACAGGCCATGCTCACTATAACTTATGTAATTTGTGTCACGGCAGCAACTTTCGAAATATCACGGCACCTTCGAAATTCAAGGCAACAACTTTCGAAAGCACACGGTACACATTAAAAGGTTACGGCACATTTTTAAAAACAAGGCAAACTTTCAAAATTCAAGGCAACAACTTCTGAGACAACTTGGAGTTTTAGTCCTTTAGGTTGATTCCAGCATAGAGGTATAAAATAGTTTATACCTCCATGATTCCAGTGTATAAATTATCACGACTTAGCATTTTATGAATATGCATTAATATCCATCGATTGGGGAAAGGCCTATACAAAGACACACCTATTCTTATCGTTACTTCGGCGAATAGCGCCATCTCTTGGTGACTTGACTTTACACGCTTTGCATTCGCATCGCCAAATTGATGTTACATCAATAACAACAATAATAATAATAATAGCGATTATAAATTTGATATGCACCATATCATGTTTTATGGTGTGTTGAATGGTCTTAGACTCTTAATATTAAATAAAACTTATATTATGACCAAGACTTCCATCCATACGTCATGGTCATAATGTAAATGTTACTCTGACCAGAAAAGCCAAACTTGGTACATCGTGCATTCACCAGCTAGAAATCAAATATGCATAATATTATCCTCGCCTCTGAAGGAGGAGGTGAGGGTATTGCAATCACACGTGTCTGTGTGTATGTCTGTGGTGTATTTGTCCTTCCGGGCGGCGCATAACTTAACAACTACTGGATCTTACTTTACACATTGACCATATTACATTTATCGCGGTCCTCCTTGAATTTGGTGCGTTAAGTAAAATGAAGATTTTAGAACGTTATTGATATATTTTTCGGTTGCATCTGACAGAGCCAAATGATGTTGCTTCCATTAGATGTGTTTACAGTAGTCATTTTAGGAGTGGGGTGGGGGGCATTTATTCCCGGGAAAATACACAAATCAATGGTGATGTTGGTAGTCTATGAGTGGATACTTACCTGGATAAACCGACTAATTGCCTATTCTTTCTCACACGAGAAACACCCCTCGAAAAATAATAGAACAGTCGACTGATGGCGCCAAGCACAAGCGGACTGCGATTTTTTTTCCCGTACGAAACATTTGCATGAAACTTCACTCGGGCAATCTCGGATGGACTCGAGTGAGTACAATACGAGGAACAAGATCAGACACTTCGCAATGTCGTGACGCTCGAGTTTTACTATTACTGTATTGCTCTTTCTATGTTTACCTACGGTAGGCCAATGAAATCTCACGGAGTTATGGGATGTACGTGTGTAACTAACTGTGACCTTCTTGGATGTTATTAAATGTTAGTATATTATTGTATCTACAACAACAACAGCTAGTACCTCCTGTTATAAAGTGTAGATAGGTACAGTAATACCAAAGGCTAGAGAGAAAGAGGCCTAAAAGTCTGAGATCTTACCTAGGCCCCTCCTTAAACTAGGCCTAGGGTCATAGGCTGACACCAACATACTGACATTGACTGAAATTTTTTGGGAAAAAAATAGGACAAAATTGAAGCATGAAATAAAAAATAGAGCGCATAAGAGAGATATTATTAAATAAATAATATACCATTCCGGCATTATTGAACTTGTCCAAACTATCATTGTAATGTAATTAATGTTTAACAATAATAATAATAATAATAATAATAATAATAATAATAATTTCAGCATTAATTACCTTGGCCTAAGCCTTGTAATGAAGAACCTACAGATACCATACTATTTACTAGGCCTATAAATAATAATCGCCCA